ATGATACTAGGGGCAGTTAGCACCATGGGAATTAGAAACAAACGCATAGAAAAGTCATTCACATTCACATTTTTAAAATGCTACTAGAAGGATAAAATAATCTGTGGGCACAATTAGGTTTACTTATTTATATTTCAAAAATCTGAGACCTAGAGAAGCAAAATTTTCTGCCTAAATTCATACAACTCTAACTTATCCATAGAAATGAATAGTCCAACTGTGACAGCTCCTATGTTTATTCGTGGAGGAGAAATTCAGATTGTATTTGTTTACATAACTCTGTGTGTGTGTGTGTGTGTGTGTGTGTGCATAATAAACCAAACAGGTTCAATTCCTCTAACTGGTTATTTGGAAATCATCTAGTTGCTAACAACTGAAAGCAATGACTCTAAACACACAGTACTACAGTGAGAGAGGAAAAAAAAAAACTAAACTAAACCAGTGATCTTTTCTATTCATCTGGCACATATTTTTATAAGGCTATAAATAATTGTATTTATCGGTTTTGGATATTTTTGAAGTAGTAATAAACATCTGTATGTTTTAAGAGGGAGATTCCTGAGTTTAAAATTTAATTGTTTGATTATTTAGAAAAAGACCATGTGTTCTTTGGAGGAGGTGACAATTAGTGGCTGGACCATAATCTTGGTCAGCTTGTTCTGCCCTAGCCCAAGCCAGGACTTCCCTGAAGCTTGAGTTTAGCAGAATGCGCAGGGATGGCTGTTTCTAGTGTCTCGCCTAGTTGTGTCTGTTGGCCACCCTGTGTCTGTGTTTCCCAAGCCACGTCAGGCATTAGCGACTGTTATTCTGCAAGAAGATAGAGAAAAAGGCCAGCACCAAAGCCAGTTAGAGTCCTTTGAATCTGCCTCACAAAATAGCACAATCATTCAGTAGACACAAGAGTCCCCTGTTTAGGATTGTTCCGTGTCTATACAATATAATTTTACTACTTTCGCTGGGCTAGGTACATTCCATGCATTTTCTCATTTAATCCTTTCAACAAATATTAGTACAATTGACATCCTCACCCCTTTTACAGATGAGGAAACTGAGGTTTAGAGAGTTTAAGGAATTTGCCCATGTGGTTGGGATTGGAACCCTGTTTCCCTTCACACCCAAGCTTTTCGGCACTAAGCTATACTCCCTACTCTAGGCCAAGCATCCAAAGGCAAACTTGACTTACATGGTCTCTGTTAGTTTGCTTACTTGCCTCTGTATCTTCTGTCAATGCGGCCATTATCCATGGATGAATCAAAACCGCAGTCTTTGGCCAGGGCTCTGAGCTCAAATGTGAAGGGTGCTGACCTTTTTTCTAGTTACAGGGAAGAGGTTCGGTGTGTTATTTCGCCAGAACTGAGTGTTAAAAGGCATGAAAGTTTTAGGAGCTCAGCTGGTGAGCCAGTAGAAATAGGTGTTTTGCAGTACTGGTGTCTGAAAGCAAATTTTCAAAAGGCAAATCCTATTGTTCTACTGACTTCAGTTATAAATCAGAGTCACATTCCTACCAGCTAGAATGGAAAAGTCCAGTTGTTGAATCACTGGGTTGAAAACTTTTGGCAAGAACTGGCCAAGTGACCTGGCCTGGCCCAGGGAGGGCAGAACTCAGTCACACAGTCCTCTCCTGACCCTGGAATCTCCTTTCCAAGGCAAGCCCCATGTTTTCCCTTTCCATTTTCCCTGCCTTTCATCAAACTTGTAAGGGTGTCCAGCCATACTTTAGTAACTTTCAGCACTAGTTTCTATGATTCCATCTACTTTCCTTATAAAGTCAAATAATAGATTAAGGGCTATAATTTCACACTTCAATGGAGGAATAATCATTAAATGCAGGTTTATTCTACAGGGAAAATTCCAGATTCTAGGCTTAATACCTTGTTTTATGTATTCGGTTGATATCGAACACCTGTATATAAAATTTCCCTAAAATAATATATATCTTTGAAGTAATGGAAAATGTAGAATGCTGAATTAAAATTTGCCATTCTATTAATTGCATTCTGAGGCCATTTTCCTGAATGCAAGTTTTTAGAGATTAATTCTAAGCATATTTTGGGGGCCCAGCCAATTCAAGAATAATCCGAATAAAATAAAATGATGAAAATCCAAAGATTTTGGCTGTTTTTAAACCAGTCTAGCAAATCCCTATAATTCAGGTCAAACACTTTCACTCTTTCCCCCATTTCTCCTCCCAAAACAAATAAATATGCTTTTCTTAAAGGTAGGCAGTAGAGACTTTGTCTTTGACTATTCTACCTGTAATGACAGTCACTATAACAGAAGGACTATATAGAAGGCTGAATCTCTCTGTTGTGCCAGTGGTCTGCAGCATAAAATTGGGAGGAATATTGTACAATATATAAGGCACAGATTTCAAAGCCACGAGACCTGGCTCGGAATCATCTCTCACTAGTTACATAAGCTTGGGGAGCTATTTTAAGGTCCCTGGGTCTTTGTGTCCACACCTGTAAAGTGATGGCACTGGTGCCTGTTCATAGGGTGATCATGTGGGTTAGGAAATGCTGGCACACAGCAGTTGCTTGACGGTGACTATCTTTAGGAGGATTTAAACAAATATTATGGTAATTCTCAAAGCTGAGGTGGAGGCACAATACAGGGAGACCTGTTAAAGGGTTTATGAGAGTCCCTCACTGAGCACTTTTGTGCCCCCTCCCCCATTATCGTTATCATGCATATAGGACACCACAGGCCTGCTGCCCTTTTTCTCTTTCACCCTGCTCCTAGGAGTGCCATATGGTGGACTGGCTTGACACCATCCGTGATGGTGAAATGTAAGGGCTGAAGAGAATTTTCTTTAAATAGCAATACATTATCAAATGCCAGGTGATCATTGCTGCTCTTATTTGACAACTATTTGGGGTTTAGAAACTCTCAGCATTGGTTTATAACACCTGCCCCACCTGCCCCCATCTTGTGTTGGCACTCTCTGATGCACAACCACAGACTCTCACAACCATGCAAACAACTAGCGATTACATTAACATTCAACCTGCTTTTTAAGAGCAGAAGGAAGTTTTTATCCTATTGCTAGTCTATGGGGAGTCAGCGTGCTCACACCGGAACCCCCTCATAGGTACTTGATTTTGAGGGCCACAGGAAGCCGGGGGTCTGACTAGATGCAAGAGAAAGCGCTTCGGCTGGCAGAGTGGGAGCCAGCCAGGGCTGCTGAGCTGGGGCTGGCCTCATCTCCGAGTTGGCACGACCTCTTAGCGGGAGGGCAAATCGTGGTTACGAGACGGGGCTGGTGGGGTGTTATAAACCAATGCCGAGAGTTTCTAAAACCTCAAACAGTTGTCAAATAAGAATGACGATCACCACAGAATGCAGCTGCCTCTCTGCCTCCCTGCGCGGAGCACGGCTGCCACATCCCTGCAGAGCTCCTGGCAGGGCAGCCAGCAGCCGCGCTCTGCCGCAGGCATTCCAGGCGGCGGAACACTGTTCTTCTTCGTCTCTCTTAGTGACTAGATGCCTCTCTAGGTGAACCACAACAACAGAGTGAGCTGACTAGAACAAACCAAAATTAGAAGCAACCTCTCTGCAGCTGAAGGCAATATAGCCACAGCCCATGGAGGAGATAGATGAATAAAGAAGGAAATTTCTTTCGTGGTCTCACTGTTGCATCTACCCAGTGACCAGTGCTATCTGGTGTAGCCATTCAACCCATAACCCATAATCCATACATTCTGTGCTCTTTCAGTCTCAAGAAGTAGTGATTTTGATGGTAAATTTTATAATTACCTTAGTTATGGTTCATAAATCATGGGGCTTACACTCCTTTGCTGGTTGGTGGAGAGTTACGAATAAGGTAGGAAAAGGCAGAATTTGAGCTTAGGAGGTCAGACAACTTAGGTGAATAGGAACCAGATCAAAGTGCTCTCCAAAGAATGTGATAGGCTCACTGCACTGGTGGGGCTGACGTGGTGGTGGCGAGTGGCTAGTGGCGAGTGGTGGTAGCAAGTGGCTCCCAGATGGCAGCATTGGGGGATCCCCTGGGTTTTCCACAGGACATCAAGCAATGGCTGGTGCTTAGGGAACAGGATCTCCCTTGGTGTGAAGAATGTCGACAGGAACCAGGCTGGGGTTGAAGCAAGGAACCAAGGTGGACTCAGGTGTATAAAATGTGCAAGCACGACAGGTGCCAGCCTGGGGGAAAGGCTGCAGTCCTGTGGCACCGAGTCCAGGGGCCTCACTTCAAGAGCAGCCTGCTGTGCTCCTGCCAGGCACTTGCCTATGTTGCTGCATTCAATCTTCACAATAGACTCAAAAAGTGGGTGTTCTGTCCCTGAAAGAGGTGAGGCAGCTGAGGCACAGAGAGTTTAAGTGACCTGTTCATCTTTACGGAGGCAGGACCATCACCCTGATCTGTGAGGATGTAAAATCTGTGCTGTTTTCTCTCCACCACACTGTTTAAAAGATATGGAGTTGTTCAGCCTGACAGTTTGGTACTTTTTTTTTTTTTTGAGACACACTTTTTTTTTTTCGACTCTGTTGCCTGGGCTGGAGTGCCATGGCGTCAGCCTAGCTCACAGCAACCTCAAACTCCTGGGCTCAAGCGATTCTCCTGCCTCAGCCTCCCGAGTAGCTGGGACTACAGGCATGTACCACCATGCCCGGCAAAGCCTGACAATTTGGAAAGAGGTATCTGTGCAGAGAATTATAGAGTATGATGTCTTTTGGAGGTGAAGGGGTACATCTGTGACAGAGAAGTACACAGGAGAGACTGCGAAGGCAGGCAGGGGCTGGACATAAAGGAGGCGAAACTGTGCTGTAGATTTTAGACTCTCACCTCAATGGGAAGAAGTAGAAGAGTGACAGCATCCTATGTGGGTTTCAGAAGGGCCATTTTGGCAGTAGAGTGGGGGTTGGACTCTCAGGGAGGGGTGTAGGTGTGGAAGAATAGGACACCCTATAAGAGGCTAGTCCAGAGAAATCTTTCAAATGTGTGGCTAATACCAAGTGAGTCCTCTGCTTTATGCTCACAGCTTCTCACCACCTTCAGGATGGAATCAAAGCTCCCTGCAAACCCCACGAGGCCTCCACAACAGTCCTGCTGCCTCTCCGGCCACCTCTCCCCATGCTCCTAGCCTACTCAGCTGCCCATGGTTTCATGAATACTTGCTGTTTTCTTTGCCTACAATGGCTTCCTCAAGCATGGCAAACTTGTTCTCAGATTTACAATTCCAGGGTAAGTGGTTTCCTACATAGGAAGGCTTCCTATGTCACCTGGCAGGGCTTGACCCTGTCTCCCCATGCGACTCCTCAAATATGCCTTTATGAAAAGGGCCTTCATCTTGTTTTATAATGGCTGCACTTCTGTTTCTGAGATTATTGAAGGCAGTGATTATGTCTGGTTCATCTTTGATTCCCATCATTTAGCTTGGTACTTGGCATGTGAAAGATTCTTCATAACCAGAACCTTCTTCCCCTGCATTTTTGGGTCTGGGAGAAAGAACAAAATTAGCCCCAGCCCTAGCTCAACATGGAAGCACAGGGAATCTTGTACACATGTATATATGAACAATCCAGCCCGTATGTCCAACCTCTATTCACACCCCTCCCCCACTGTAAACAGCCATCTCCGGGCCATCTCCAAGCCTACAGGTGGACACTCCAGCAATGCAGTACATACTCGGGGGGGAGGTGGGGAATGGGTGTGGTGGGGGAGATCTTGCATCAGTTCTAGAAGCAGGCATGGGCCACTTGGACAAGGAATCTTCAGTTCTAGGTCCAGAAATATCACCTAGAATTGGGGTATGTGGGCCCATGGTGGCAATGCCCCTTTGGCATTATGGATGCCTTGATTTGTGGTTAGTGATATGACCAGAGAAAGAACACAGCCAAGCGCTCTAAAATGTGGAGCTCAGGCTGCTCAGCCTCAAGGGTGACACCGTTCATCATTCTACAAAATATGTGTGAGATAGTGAAGATATGAGCTAAAATATTAAGACGGGAAAAGTAGGAAGACGCTATTTACCAGGATGATACCAGAATCCTTGGTAACCCGTTGGCTGAGTGTATGTGTGTGGGAGAGAGAGAGAGACAGAAGCCAAGGATTGTTGTGGGCTCTGTTGGTGGGAAGACTGGTATTGTGCTATTAGTTCAGAAAGGAGGAAACGTGGGAGTTAACTCAGTGTTAGACAAGACAGGAAACTTAGGGGAAATGTTAAATGGCTGGAAATATGGCATTTAGAGCCCAGGGTTGAAGTTGGAAATAAGGATTTGGCAGTCCTTAACACATAGGTGATACCTAAAGCTATGGATGTGGCCGCATTACCCAAGGAACAGAGCCTAGAATGGGAAGAGGCTTAAACAGCTGACAAAGGGAGTCCATGAAGGAGCCTGAAGAGCAGAAGCCAGAGAGATACATGGAAATCCGGGGCAGAGGTTGTGACAAAGGCTATTGGAAAAGGGCAACAACTTCACAGAGAGAGAAAGTCACGCTGCCAGTTGCTAAGCATGTGAAGGGCTGCAGAGTGTCCATGGGATTTTAATAAGCTGGTGATCTCAATGAGAGCCATTTCAGGGGAGTGGTGGTGGCTGAGGGCACAGTGTGCACTGCTGAGGAGTGAATGGAAGGTGAAGTAGAGACAGAGTCATGTTAGTGTGTCAGGAAGTTTGGATATGGAGGAAAAAACCAAACAGCCTGAACTTGAGGATGATACAGAACTTAGGAATGGTTATTATGGCTTTTTGCTTGTGTTTCTTTTAAATATGAGAGAGCCACCAGCACTTACATGTGCTGAGGGGAAAAAGATGAATGAGAAGGTCAAAGATGTAGAAAGTAGACGGAGTCTCAGTGGAACAAGGCTCCTGGTGCAGATGGGGCTCCCTGGAAAGCAGACGAGGCCTCACAGACAGGAGGTTTAACAGGCAGCGCTCTTGGAATCGACGCCCATGTAAGAAAGGAAGGAAAGAGGCTGGGGTAGAGGGAGAGGTCAGGCTCAGGTGCCCCACAGTGAAGGCCTCAGCCTAGTTCTTGGGGAGCTCAGAAGCTGGGGCAGCCCTCGGGCTTGTCCCAAGTTAGAGCAAGGGGCTAGGCTTGCATACGCCCATACCAGCCAATTGTTGGGTCTGAGCTTCCCTGGGGAGGGAGTGTGACCTTGGGTCTCTGGGCATGGCCAGCTGCCAAGGGCTTCTGCCACAGCAGCACTGCCAGTGGCTGAAGCAACAAATCCCGAGGTCCTGAAGGGGAATCCAGGCTGCATGTCTGCATCAGCCAAGTTTCAATTGGTGATGCAGAGGCAGAAGGAGATATATATTAAGAGATTTATTGCATGGAACTGGCTCATATGATTATGGGGGCAGGCAAGGCAAGTCTGAAATCCATAGGGCAGGCTGTCAGAAAAGACAGGCTGGCACTCTTCTTGGGCACAGGCCAAAGCTGCTGTCCACAGTCAGAATTTCTTCCTCCTCAGGGAAGCTTCAGTCCTGCTCTTAAGGCCTTTCAATTGATTGAATTAGGCCCAGCAGATTATCTAGAATAATCTCCCTTACTTAAAGTCAACTTTAATGCTTGCCTGCCTGCCCTCAATGTCCCTGGCTTCCTCTTCAGTGTGTCCTCCTCAGGAGCAGGGAAAACATTTAGTTACCCTTATAGTTGTTGTTCCCAATCTTCCCAGCTTCACTTCCCTGCCTCCACTTACCCAGGCTCCATGGACTGCCCTTGTCCCACTCCCTACACATCCTCTCCCCCACTCCCCATCACCTACCTTGGCTACCAGCAGGGCTCATGCCCCGTCCCCTCCACTGGAACTGCAGTCTCTGTGACTCCGGCCCACTGCCTTGCCCTCAGCCCACTCTCAGAGCAAGTGAGGGTGATACAGAAGACGCTGACCTGCAGGTTGGCCGACACCCACAGCCCCAGATGACTGACCTGCCGTGAGAATTCAATCTACATGAGCCTTGTGAGGAGCAAAGCAATATTCATTGTTCCCTCTGGGGCAAATGTTACTAAGGGCCTATCAAATTTCTGTTTCAGATTTAATTTAAGAGGTTTAAAATTTGTCAAATATGATCTGCCGCAGGCTGGGATTTGGAGTATAAATAAGGTCACTGTATAACAAAGTTTGTGTTGTTTTATCACAAATTGTGAGATTCACCCATTTTGCTACTTAAAGATTAGAAAGTAGGCCTCTGGTATTGCACAATTAAGAAGAAAATGTCCCCTTAACCTTCAAAATAATTAAAGTGGCAAGCAAGTCAGATTGTGAATGACTTGGTTACTTTGGGCAGTTTTCCAAGATCAAAGGTAAAACTGCTGAGATGCCAAACTCTAAATGTCATCATCTTTATAAGCAACTTCCCATACAGATGACTGCTCGGCATGTAGGAGCAAGTTTGCATCATACATGCTATTACTGGCATGAAATTACTTTTGGCAGTTTCATGAAAGGAGTCCCCTTCTCCCTCTCCATAACCCATCTCTTGACTCTTCCTACATCTAAGAGAAACCCACCCCAGGCCCCAAAGCATACAGAAAAGGAATCATGTACAATTAGGTCTAATGGATTAAGGATCAGGATTTGGGAGGAATAAAACCTAATCTTGGTAATCTCTGTCTTGTCCTTGGTTTTAAAATAACATCTCCTTAGACAGCCAAATAGCCAAATTCGCCAGTGGTGGAGGAGTTTAATTTTTCTCCCTACCTTGGATTTTCCTGGAGTCACATATTAACGGGACTTCAAAGCTCCTCTTTTAACAGCTGATTTATAACAGGTATAATGTGAAAAGAACCAGTAGGATAGAACAAGTCAAGAATACAGAGGTTAGAAGGGCAGCGAAAAAATATAGTTAACATGGTTTTGATCACTTCACTTTTTTGAACATGTGCTCTTGTCTACAAGTATTTTTTACTTGGAGTAATCATGATTTTTTTCTAGTTAAAGTCCAAGCTCAACTACCTTATTTCTCCATCATCCCCACACCCCACTTTCCCAATTTCTCTAGAGATCAGTTCATCTGGGGTAGATAAGATGTAAGACAAACATGAGACTTGAGAAGGTGACTGCTCCCTGTTTAGTCTGCCAGTTTGGCAGTGCTTGAAGTTAATGTGTACGACCTTATCAAGGGCACAACGTGGCTGGTAGCTTTTCCACAGCAGCTGCCTCTGGAGGAGAGGCGTGTGGGGACAGAGCCTCCAAAGCACAAGCCCTGGAGGGTGAAGGTGGTGGCAAAGGGATCATTCTAATTGAGTACAGACCACTGAGTGAAACACACCCAGAAAGAGGATGATGTCCTGGAACCTTAGCTATTGCTGGAGCCAGGAACAAGTTGGCCAGAAAGCCTGGCCCTGCCCTGAGCAGCTCAATGATGACTTAATTATACCTCTGCCTACCCGGCTCTGCCTCGGCATCCAGGCTGCCTTAAGGACCAAGCATGGAGGCGTGTCAGCCTGAAGCTGCTAAAACAGTGTCTCAGTCTGTCTGTGGTGCTATAAAGGAATACCTGAGGCTGGGAAATTTATAAAGAAAAGAGGTTTATCTGGCTCATGGTTCTGCAGGCTGTACAAGAAGCATGGCACCAGCATCTGCTTCTGGTGGGGGCTTCAGTCTTCTTCCAGTCATGGCAGAAGGGGAAGGGGAGCTGGAGTGTACAGAGACCACAAGGTGAGAGAAAAAGCAAGAGAGAGGGGGAAGGTGCCAGGTGCTTTTTAACAACCAGCTCTTGGGAGAACTCTGGAAGGTACTGATAGAGTGAGAACTCACTCATCCCAATGGAGGGCATTAACCTATTCATGAGGGATCCACCCTCATGACCCAAACACCTCCCATTAGGCCCAATTTCTAACAGGGGGGATCAGATTCAAACCTGACAATTGGAGAGGTCAAATAGCCAAACCATAGCTAGTTGCCTTACTTCATATTCTTTCATGTGCAGGGGGAACAACAAAGAAGAAAGAAAGAAGAGAAAAGAAGAGAAAAAGAAAGAAAGAGAGACCCATCTACAGAAACAGAAGCATATTAGAACCAACACAGCCAAAAAGGCTGGGAAATGCAGTTTTCCTGGGATACTTTTTCTTTGGGGATTCTTTCTACAGATGGTTTACACGACCACCTAAAACATTAATCACACCTTATTTTTGGCCCAATACAGTATAATCCAGTTGAGTTACTGACCTTGACAACAGATAACTCTTGGAAATTCTGATAACCTATTTTTCAAAAGAAGATCTTCCAGTTCTGATGAGATTGTAAGCACTATTACCAAGTTCTAAGGGAATTCCCAAAGAAGAATTTTCAATATTTTGAGTTATGGTGGTAGCTTCCTGGCAGAGAGACAATGTGGCATCCTGGGAGCTTAGGGCCTGAAGGACCTGGGTTTGAATCTCAGCTGACCATTTGCTAGCCCTTGGCTGTGTTACTTAACTGTCAGTTGCAGAATAATGATACTAAGCTTGATGTTAAGGTAAAGATTCAATAAAGTCATGTATATAGAACACTCAGCATGCAAAATGTGCACAATCCATTTTTCCCCTTCTTATTGATGCCTTGAATACAACTGCACTCATTTAGATGTATGAAAATAATAGTAAAGTAATATTAGCTAGTGTTATTAAATAATGATTGTGTGCTAGGTTCTGCTCTAAGTACTATATGAGTATTAATTTAGTTAGTCCTCACAACACCTATATGGTAGGTACTATTATTGTCCTGTTCTATAGATGTGGAAACTGAGGCATTGAGAGATTAAGGAATATGTCTAAGGTCACACAGCAAGCAAACTGCAGAGTCAAGATTTCCAAACCTGAGAATCTAGGTCCAGAGTCTTCACTCTTGGGACAGCATTATATGATCTGCACGTGTTAGAGCATTAATCATGACTTCATTATCACACTTTATGTATTTCTCAGGGGTGTATGGGTGAGACCATGTCATGCACACATGTGTGACATGAAAAGGACAGAATCCAGCAGGTGGGATGGATGCCAAGTTGGACAAGAGCTCCTCGTGCTGCCTGTGCTCTGACTGCACCCACCAACTGAACACAGAAGAGCTTTTCCTGAAGAAGCATCATGGATGCAAACAAAGCCAAGAGCCAGAGCAGACCATTGACTGGCCATCACCAGCAGTTTGGGCTGCAGTCACTCCTAAGTATCACTTAAGACTAAAGAACATAAATAGTTTTTGATCTAACCTAGTTGTAGATAGTTGTTCTGTATAGCTTGCTATAATTTCATACTAGTCATCTCACATAATTCCATTTTATGGATGATGATATGGAAGAAGAAGAACTTGCCAAAGGTTACCCAGCTAATAATTGGAGAAAGCTATTGAGTTAGTTTCCTTTCTACCATATTGCTTAATTTCTTCCCTTCTTAGAGGAGTGAGGCTGTTGCCAAAATTCCTGCACCTTATTTTTGTTTTCACTTTCACCCTCTTTCTGAAGGCACACTGACTCCTAGAAAGGTGGAGAACATGAAGCTGAGAGCTACATGGCATCAAAGAGAAAGGTGGAGGAGCAGCAGGCCCTGGGGCTGGGTGGCTGTGATGGGTGGAGGCTCTGGCTGCTAGCCTTAGATGTCCCATAAACAGCCAAGTGACCCATTTTTTTCCAGCTCTGCCCACACAACTTCCATTGTTAATCCTGAGTGACCATTGGCCAACTGCAGGAGCAGAGCTCCAAATGCCCTGACCATGACACAGCATAGGAAAAGCACTCAGCTCTTGGCTCTGCATAGGGTTTAACCCCAGTGCAACTTAGCACCGCCCTTTTCCAGGGAAGGAGGTAACCACACAATGCAGAAGAGGAGTGCTGATGCACCCAGGGCTCTGGGCACATTCTCTTGCTCTCCGACTCCAGGTCAATAATCTATACCCATTCCCAAATTCACGCCATCGGTTCTGATTCTTCAGCCTTAACATCTGCCTATCTTCCCAGGGGAGGGAAAGAGAGCTGGCATTTCTGCTTAATAACAACAAAAAAAATTGTTTTTTAAAATTACAGATGGCTCAGTCCTGAGCACCATGCATCCTGTTGGGCAACCAAGGAGCTTGTCTTTGTGCAAATAAACTTGGGAAATGAAGCTGGGAGGATGCATGGAAATATTCTAGGTAGAAACAGGGCTTGTTTACATAAATTTTGTCCTAGAAAAACATCTGTTGAAAAAGAAATGGTTTGCAGCTATAAAGTATAAATATACTTTTCTCTAACTCTGTTATGTTCAACATAATTTTAGTATCAGTTATCTAAGCAATCCAACTTATTATATCATTGTATGTTATCTTATTTTTAAATCATTTCTTCTGTTTGTCTTGTCTACTTAGCTAGACTGTAAATTCCTTTTGGGGTATTAGAAGAGTTTTTCCTTCTCTTGTATTTCCCAATAATCTATCACATAGCCATAGTAGACAGTAGTCATTTTTTTTTTGACCACCCACCATCTGAAGTTGTTTCTTCCTCTCTTTACGGAATTCCCTGTCTCATGAGACAGAGCTCAGCTCCTCTTATAAAAGCTGAAAGTTCCAGACACTGGATTTCCCAGTCTTCCTTACAGTTAGACACGGACATATGATCAAGGTTCTACCAGTCAGATGGTGTTTGAATCCACTAGTGATATGAAAAAAGGAAGCTGCAAAATCTACTCTGGTGATAAATGTTGGACACAATGGCAGCTATGTCCAGTTCCCAGAGGCAGCAGGGTCAGTGGTTCTAGCATTAGCATCCAAGGACCAGTGCTGATGGTGCAGATGGTACAAGCTGTAGTGTCTGGGAGCTGTGTGGCTGCTATGATATCTTCACTAGATAAATCCTGTAGTGGAGTTTACAGCATTGCTCCTGGCTGCAGAGTCTTCAAGCCTTTTTCTCTGGATGCCCTAGAAATTCCTTCAGTTACCCAATGTCCTTTCAATAAATTCCCCTTCTTCCTAAATTAGCTGGAGCCTATTTCTGTTGCTTGCAACTAAGCATCCTGAGAGATATAATGTTAAAGCAAACACGCAATAAATATTTGTTAAATGACTAATTAAGAACTTCTGACATTTCCCCCAGTCCATATGGAATTTAAGACCCTCACCCCCTGGCGCCGCTAAAGAATATGTACACAAATAGGGAGGCAGAAATGGACACAGACTATTTAGGGAACAAAATAATAGAAGAGTTTTGTTAGAGCAGAAAATTCATTTAGAAGAATAATGGGAAATGAGGCTTCAAAACTAGATTGGAAAGATATGGTGGAGGACATTAAAAAGTCACACTGAGGAGCTTGATGTTAGCCTCTAGGATTGGGGGTACGTGTGTAAAATTAGAAAGTTTGGAGTTGTGGCCATTATCAGTCACTCTAGAGTGTTTTTTGCACAATATTCCCCCAAAATAATGTCTAGAATCTGCATATAGAAAATATTAACAAGGAATAAGGGATCTATAGTGACATATGTTTGAGAAATAGTGAGTCAATTGAAATTCAGAAGATTACTCTCCTAAGGAACAATGTGAACTTCCAAGAGAGAATATTCAGTCAGCACTTCTCAAACTTGGTAGACCGTGGGATTTGTATTCTTTCAGATTGTAGGCACAAGAGGCCAAAGAAGCCATCCTGGGAATGGCTGTTTTCTCCTTGGTGACTGCTAGTTAAGGGAATGAGAGTGAGGAAGAATGAGCAAGGGAGGAGGGTACAGGGAAAGGTTCAGAGCTTGGAGAGGCCTTACAAGAGTAGATGTGCTGAGACACAGATAGTTAGGAGAAGGGGAAACCAGGAAAAAGGCGTTTGAGGGAAAGACAAGCTACCACAGACCTTCTTAATTTTACAGAGAATCAGCTTTGTTTCCAATTCATTGCTTAGTTTTAATAATTAGAGATTGTTATACACCCTGAGGGTATTAGACACCCCCAGTGCATGAAAAGTGTGAGTGCCAGACTAGGACCCTGGTGTGGGCCACTAGACAGCTTCCAGGTAAGAGAAAGCCAAGGGACAAAGTCAAATTAAACACAACCTGTACCACCCAGCACACCCCTTACACTCTGGTAACTCCCCAAAGGTACCTGAAGGTTCCTTCGTGAAATGCTTCCACCCACTGTCTGCTGTTGCCGAGGTGGGCCTAGGCTTATTTGAACAAGGTGAGAAGGATGGTTATAAAGACCATAATAGTTAGGAAAGCTTTTTGTTGTAAGAAACAGAACACCTGACTAACTGAAGCTTATACCTTAAGGACATTTCTTATTTGCAAAACAAGAAGTCCAGAAGGCTAAAGTGGGAAGATTACTTGAGGCCAGGAGTTTAAGTTTGCAGTGAGCTATAGTGGTGCCACTGTACTCTAGTCGGGTGATAGAGTGAGACAAACAAAAAAACAAAAACAAAAAAGAAGTCAAGAGGTAGAAGGTCCCAGGGTTGGCCTAAATGCTTTCTAACATTTACCTTTGTCATCAATAGCCTGTTGGTATTTGGTCTGCATGAGCATCTCCCTCATGACTGCAATATGGCTGCTGAAACTCCAGGCATCAGGACCAAATTCAAGGCACAAAGAAAGGAAGAGAGGAATGATTTCAGCAGCTCTCCTTTTTTTTTTTTTTAGGTCTGTTTCTTATCTGGAAAATAAAATCTTTTCCAAAGGTCTTTCAGTAGATGTCTCTTCATGTTTCATTGGTCTTTTAGTATACAAACCCTCCTGGTACCAGGGCATTTAAAAACACTTTGTAAAAATATCTATTATACAAGACAAGCAAGGGAGCAGGGGAGTAGAAATGGCTGTGTGATCAGGCAAATAACAGCATTCACCACAAAAGCTATATAGAAATAATAACCACACACAAAAAAAAGCCTATGATGACCCACTAAGTGAATAAAAAGCAAGACTGAACAATTGTATATATACTATGTTTACAACCAAGCAACAGAACAGATGGATGAGGGAAAAAGACTAGAAGAAATTGTTGAAAATAGCACATAAAATTTTATCCATCTAAAAATATTGGTGGGAAAGAGGCCCTGCCCAGGGGAATTCATTCTGATTGCCATTATTAATACAATTGCTTATGTGTATGAACTTTTAGCAAATCAGCCCAAATGAAGGACAAGCAAGCCGAAGGACACTAGAAGACCAGACCACTGCTGCTCCTTGTGAGCAGCTTCCTGGCCCCGTGCTGGGTTCTGCTCTTGTGGCTTTTATGTAACTGTTCCCAGGCACTGTATGACCCCAAGGTGAATACCCGGTCACAGGGACCATCTCAGGGGTGTGCATTGATCAGCTTTAATAAAGGAAGAAGTTTGGCAAGACTTGGAGCATTATTTTTTTTTATTAGTCTAATAATGCAAAACTTGGGAACATGAATAGATTGGAACAGAGAACTAGAGGAGAGGTGCCAGGCTTTGTTCAGTTAGCAAAATATGTAAGTGGGGGGGAAGAAAAATGCTATTACCCATTGTGGTAATTTGTTAA